GAGATGGTACAAAGCTAAAAGCTAACTCAACAATTTTCTCATGATTTGTGATCACAAAGTAACTCAGATCTGTGTGTTTCACAGCCAAATCTCACAGTTACACAATAAATAGACGTATATATCATCAGCTGTTTCTGTTCATCACTGAGGCTGTGGAACCAGTAGATAACAACAGAGGTCAAAAGACCTCAGGTATTGCTGTCAGCAGAATCCAACACATTTCCCTCTATGGGTCAAAACGATGGACGGTCACATAAAACTTTGTCCAACTTGTAAAACAGGCAAATTATAAATTTATATTTAGCTGTCATCAAAACAACCACTACATCCTGCGTTCATGACGTATTTCCTGTCAAGATGATCTCATTATCTTACACTACAAGCAGTCCAAAAGAAGAGGAAAAAGCGTGGTAAAGCAATGGTATTGTTTCGTCGTGGCCGCAGGAGATCGTTGTTTACATCATCCTGATTAAAATCAATCTAAAATGAAAACTGTAATAGCTAGAGCATTATATTTTTTTGCAGCAGAAAGCTAAGACTTCTGTCTCTTGCAGCAAGTGCAAAAAATTACATTGTGCCACAAGCAGAGGAGCAGAGAAACATTTTCATAGGAATGTCTGTTGTATTTTTTGTATTTATGACACAATTTCTATACTTTAATCAATTATTACAGCTTATTGACTCATACAACCTTTTAGCTTTTAGTTATACAGATTTTAGGGATATAAAACACCAAAGAATACCAGAGTAGGCGCTGAGGAAATATTTCTGCTGCAGATGAAACAGCTTTGCACTCTGCTCATAAAACTGAGAAAATCTCAAAACCTAAAAATTGTACGTAGTTCAAAAAAACTTATGAAGTGTTAAGAAATATTTCAATCATGTTTTTACATTTAGGAATCTTTTGGATCAATATGTTTTGTGTGTTTATTTTTTTAAATTCAATGAAAAAAACATCAGATTTTTGTATTTTTTTTGTAATTTATGACATAATTTCAATACTTTTATCAATGAATATGGACTATTAACTTACATAACCTTTTAGCTTAGGTGGTACAGATTTTTGGGATATAAATAATTTGAAAATACTCCAACAAATGACATCACAATACGCATAAATACAAACACTGGCGGACTGTTTCTATGGCAGAGTTCAAAGGGTTAAAACCAAGTGCAAACAGTGTCTGTGATGACGTCTTTTAAGTTTTCATCTCCCATGTGACTCTCTATTCTGCTGCTGCTCCAGCAGCAAGCTCCTGGGTTACCCATGGCTCTTCACAGTATAATCTTTGGGATCTGCTTTGACGGAGCGTAACAATTTACTCCCTCTGCCAATCTACCTACTCACTTAATCTTGTCTCGACTGATTCTTTTAAAACTGTGTCTTAATTCACAGTATCTACATAACAATCATCACTCTGTCCTCGACTCATGCACCCAGCATGTTTTTCTTTCTTTTTTTACAACCCTGTAACTGGAAATTAAGTGTGTTCTAGTCATGAGTGCATTAGGACTAATGGATATGGTTAGATTATGTTTTCATTTCCTGGATCTGCCTCCCCAAAGACAAATTAGAAAACAGCCACGCCTTGAAAAGTGGAAAGTGATGCCAGACTGTGAGGAAAAAGCTGCTCTGGAAATGTATTAAACAACGTCTGACTGACGAGGAATGGCCAGAGATGGTGCCTTGTAACACAACAGACACAACAACAACAACAACAAAACAGCGTGGAGATATCTGGTGATATTTTGATCGTCACACACCACTGGATGGATGAATATTTCTCAAGTGATAATGCTGCCCGTGTTTCTTTATTAATGCCATATAACAAAACTCTATCCCAAACATTTACTTTATTTAATATGTATTTGGTTGTTTTTCTTGCCTGTTTTATTTCACATTTTCTCTGGTTTTAAATGTATTTTTTTACATATAATTTTATTAATATAAATCTGAGACTACATATAACAAACATCACGTATTTTCTGAATAAATGTTAAAAGAAAAACATGACATACTGCTGCTACCTCCATTTTCCTGATTAAATGATGAATGGCATTCATGAGCAAACTATTCAGCTGGACAACCTGTGACATATTTATCTTTATAGGTTCAGATCAGTTTGGGATTAGATGTTTCAATCCCTGATGCACATACTTGAGACTATGAGTGGGAGTAATAGTGCCGTCTGGGGGTCTGAGTGGGAGCCAAAGGGTTATGGTTAGGTGGTTAGAAAAGTAGGAAGGAGCAAACTGATGTAAAACCAGATAGCTGTTACCTACACTTTGGTTCTTCTCAAAAATGAACCTCCATATTTGACTATTTAGGTGCTTTTTTTCTCACAATAGTAAAGTTAGTTAATGTTAACCCTTTAAAAATAGACATCTCAGGAGATTTTGTTTGCATGGCTCTGTTTAAATAGAGCTAAAACAAGAACCATAATAGCTAAACTTTCATTCTTTTAACAGCAGAAAGCTAAGGCTTCTGTCCTCCCCATCATCATGTCATGACCTTATGTTACCTTACCTTATGTGCGGTGCAAACATGGTATTTTTCTGTAATTACACCTGATTTCCCCGTAATGGCCTCAGGAGATTGTTGTTTGCATAATCCCGTATATATCGATCCAAAATAAAAACCATACAAGCTAGAACATTCATTCTTTTTGCAGCAGAGAGCAAAAGCATCTATATTCTGTGTCATCACATTGCACACTCATGATGATGTCACTGCTCTACATTACCTGTGGCACAAAACCTGTGAAAATGTGCGGTGACACGAAGAATGAATGATGAATTCATCATAACGCCTTTACACTCTGCTCTTAAAAATGAGCATAACTCAAAAACCTAATAATGTACATAACTCAAATAACTTATGGAGTGGTAATAAATACTTTGTTTATGTTTTTACATTTAGAAATCCATCCATCCATTTTCATCCGCTTATCCAGGGCCAGGTCATGGGGCCAGCAGGCCAAACAAAGCACCTCAGGCGCCCCTCTACCCAGCTATGCTTTCCAGCTCCTCCTGGGGGACCCCGAGGCGTTCCTAGTCCAAATGAGACATGTAAGGTTTGAAATGTAGTTTGAGCAGTGTGGTGGTGCAGTGGTTAGCATTGTCACCTCACAGTAAGAGAGTTCCTGGTTCAAATCCAGCGGAGTGGGGGAGCCCCTCTGTGTGGAGTCTGCATGTTCTCCCCGTGTCAGCGTGGGTTTCCTCCAGGTGCTCCAACTTCCTCCCACAGTCCAAAGACATGCAGGTTAATTGGTGACTCTAAATTGTCCGTAGGTGTGATTCATTCTCTGCCATGTTGTATGCCAGCTATAGTGGATCTGTAGATCAGACATTAGACGTTTGTTTGGAAAAGGTGTGTTCAGCCAACTTTGCATGAATATGGTTAATATTCAGAGTTATAATATTAACTGGTAGAGCTGGTGAAACTACAGCCAGCCTTATAAACTGAAAATGATGACGCCTGTCAATGATTGACTTACAGAGTACCTACAAACCACGTCTGTGATCAGAATAATAAACTTTGAACCTTTAATGCAATCCATGCTGGTTTAAAGTTGATGTTGGCTCTGTTTTCAGGCTAGTGAAAATAAATACTGTGACTGGAGATTCTGGCCAATCACAGGTCATTACAGGGAGAGGGCGTTCCTATTGGCTGTTCTACCAACACATTCTCACTCCCAACTCGTCACATAGCCCCGCTTGGTCAGTGGACTTTCACGTCTACATATGACTCACTAGGTATCCTGAATGTTGTTGATGCTCTGGGACACTGTGTCAGTTTACGCCTGTTAAATGCATTGTGTCTTTTCAAAATACACTTGTACTTGTGTGTAATAACAGCTGATATGGTGGAAATATAGAAACAGGACATCAATAGAAAGATACAGAAAGGAGTTGTTGACTGAGTTCAGTGTAAGTGGGTGGTGTGTGAGGAATGAAGCTGCTGCAGAACCCGGTTGTTCCTGCTCCTGATGCTGCGGTACTTCATGCCAGAGGCCAGCAAGGAGAACAGTCCATGGTGGGGGAGCATGAAGTCCCCGGTGATGTTGCGTGCATTAGTCAGGCAGTGTTTGTGTCCAACGTCCTGCATGAGGGAAATGTACGTGATGTAATTTTGGAAGTACTTCGTCTGCCATTTTGTTTTCTTGTTTTGTATTCTCAGTAAACTTTGTTCAACTTCCTCCCTGTCTCATGTGAGTTCTGTAAATCTTCAGGAAAGGAACAGCAATCACGAGTCAAACCGAGACGCCTAGGAACTTTGGTATGTCGAAATGGCCACTAAACAAAAAGATTTACAACATCAGTAAAATATTTATATTTATTTCATTGTGCAACAAACACGTGGTTAGGTTTAAAACGAACATCATGGTTTGACTCTACATTCACACAAGAAGCAAACAGCGGCCTCCTGGGCAAAAGTCCGGTGTAGTTGGACCCATCCACCACCCTGTCCACCTGCCCTTTCCAGGTACTTGAATTACATTGTTGTCAGGTGGTGTTTCAGACTTTCACCACCCAGTGGCGTTATTAACTGGGGTTGCTAACATACCACCACAAAAGCTTTTTTTTCTTAAGTGTCTGAAGCGGAAGTCCATGACCAAGTGGTGGTATTTGACGACTTCATAATGAGAATGGGTTGGTTCTTGAATTCAGATGCGCGTGCACATCTCTTTGGTGAAAGCCTGATGTAATGCCAGAGAATCCTGCAGAAAAAGTTGCTCTTCCAGGGTTGGCAACAACTTCCTACACTCTAAAGCAACCTGAGAAAGGAAGACTTCAAGACCGACATTTCAAAAACAACATAAAAGAGAGTCTGACAAACAAGACAGCCTTTTAGATTTCTGCTTTAATAAAATGTATGCGTTAAAATATACAGTCTATAAATGATTGACAGAGAACATCAAGTATTGGGTAAAGTGTGTGTGTGTGTGTGTGTGTGTATAAATAGTGGGTAAACACAGGGTTTGTGTAGCAGAGCTTGTTCAACAAGGTTCTGACGTTCATCTCCGTCAGTCATGGATCTTTCTGGGATTCCCAGGACATGGACACTGTTTGTCTGCCTGAGCTGGATTTGTGTGGGACAAGTGTTGGCAGAACCGTAAGTTTACCTGCACCGTCTGAAATACTGACATCAGCATGTAGTTTTAGGTGACACTTTGTTAAAACCTGTTGATGGGAGCGACGCACAGTGCCAAATTCACTTGAATATCGGATCATGTTGTTTTGCTATGTGTTCTTTTGGAATGGGCAATTATTCAGTGTGAGATCCAGCAATTGATTGACTGGCTTCTGGAACCAGCCTCAAGTGGCCATTAGAGGAACTACAGTTTTTGGCCCTTATGTGTTGGCCTCATTTTTAAGCCCCAGAGGTTGCTGCTTGGTCCAGACTGAAGACTAAAGCCCCGTTTCCACCAAACCCTTTCAGTACAGTACCTTTGGAACCAACAGTACCCCTTCAGACATGGCACCTAGACCCTCGGTCTGTTTAGTGTGTCCACTACACAGTCCTCTTAAATGTGGGCGGGGTTGTTGTCACTCACTGCTCCGTCCAGCACTCGCTGTATTTCCTCATCAGCGGTGACACAGATGGAAGTCTGCACCTGGTTTATCGTCCACAGAACGAGGCTGCACGCCGACATTTTCAGAACAAAATAGAACAGGCTGCAGTGAGAGTCTCTCTCCATGGGATATTTAAAAATAGCAGCTTTGTGCATTAGAGTATGACTGCAGTGAAAAAAGTCACCAAATATGGATTAAAGGAGAATATTTTATTGGAATAAACATGTTGTGGATTTTGGAAATGATTACATCTATTTTCTGTCAGTTCATTTTGATTTTTGGATTTTACAGTGCTCTTGAGTGACTGGAAATGTCTCGCATCCTCTGGTATCCTCCGTTAGCTGTGCTGGTGACACGGTGCTACTAGCTTAAAAATACATGTTAACTTTGTGGAAGTAGGAGCTAAATCTGTTAGTGGAAAAATAATTTTTTCAGCGGCTATCGACTTCGTAATAAGACTGAGACTAAATGTATTTTTAGATTCTTAATGTTGAAATATGAATTTGACATATCAGCGGCCTACCTTTTTCAAGCCAACAATACTAATTCACTTCAAAATGTTTAAAAGTTTAAATTATTTGATTATTCCACAAAACAGGAACATAGTTCCACATTAATTTATGGATTCACCTTGGTCCCGTTGGTAACTGATGTGATGGGGTGGGTGACTGTGACTGTTTCTGTATGATTTGTTGGTTATCGCAATAATTTAACATTATGAAGTTTTTTTTATGGATATAAACGTGGATATATGACTTAAAGGACAACTTCGGTATTTTTCAACCTGGGCTCTATTTCCCCATGTGTATGTGTGCGTATCATTCATGGGTACCACTCGTTCTAAAATTGGTTCAGTATTGAGCTGCGAAATGAGCTAAAACGGTAATGGGGGCAAATGCATCCCATATAAAAGTGCTTTTTTTCGCCACTGACTGGTTCAGATTGCCAGTGCTATCCCTGTAGATAGCATATGGTAGCGGCCCTGGGGCAGTGGTGACTGTGAATGAGTGGAGTCAGCTGTCAGTCAGTGTTGGAGCAGAGAGGCAGAAGTTGTCCCCGTACGGTAATGTAAATGAGTAGCCTATGTGTGTGTGAAGTGTGTGTTACGCTAGAAGAGTCAGAGGACGGAGTCTTTTGCGTGCTACCCCCTGTCTGAGGATGGCGGGTGGGAGGGGTGGTGAGTGGGTCCAGCAACCACCAACTGTCTTTCACCTGGGAGGGCGGTGTTTGCTTCCTGTAAGATTGCAAAGCCAAATCCTGTTCTTTTTTCCTAAACCTATCCATGTGTGTGTGTGTTAGCTAAATGTTACTGGTGGGCGATAAACCGATAACATATCGTCTTGCAATAAACACTTACGCACCGTCAATAGAAAAAACATTCGATATAACATTCGATAATGTTATTGTATTCTGTTGGGACAAAAACACAAGGGAAGCCGAGCAAGTTACCCTCGGAGTCGGGCTGTGCAGGGTTGGTTGCATGAACACACTCATTTGCTCCCTGGTAACCTAGCAACAGTGTCACGCAAACAGCTAACAACGCCAGGTTTGGTTGCACTTATACGCCGTGAGTTTGGGCTTGTTTTTTTTTTGTTAAGTGACTTACAAATATTGGTAGTCGCGGGTTGCGTATTTTTTGTTTGGGCTTGTTTCTAAAGTGGAGTTGCTTATTTGGGCTTGCTCTCTAAATTTCGCCTTTCTCTCTGTATATATCCATCGAATAAGTTATTTAAACGCATGATAGTATGTCAGACTGCAGGATGTTTCCACAGCTCCGCTCCCTCCGCCCCTCTCCTTCTCTGCATACCAACAGATGTCGGTCAGTCAGTGAGACTTTTCACATTTAAATTGTGCGATTAATGGAGGTTCTTTAACTATTTCGCTAACAAGTGGTCGAAATATGGAAAGAATCCAGTAAAGATCATTATATGCAACTTCTTTACTTTCATTTTCATTCATTAATTTATTCTTTCCACATTTTTGGTCAGCTAGTTGGTTTGGTAGAGTTCAAGGCCAGTAAATATAATGTATTTATAAAGTAATTTTGGTTGCTGGTCCTGGTTGCTTGTTTCTCTCCCAAGATCTGGCAACACTGAACATAACACAGCGTGGAATGAGCAGCAAGAATGAGTGCGGATAGCAAGGAAATAGTCGAGTAGTAGTTTTTGTACCACCTGTGTGTATGTTCCTCTGGCTGCAGGCAGTATGTGGTGGCCATTCCTGCAGTTCTCGAAGCTGGAGCTGAGACTAAGCTCTGTGCGAGTCTCCTGCAGCCCAACGAGACGCTGGTCATGACTGTCACTCTGATGTCCTATGAGACGAATACAACGCTCTTCGAGAAGACATCTGACACAGAGTTTCATACCTGTGTTCAGTTTCAGGTCAGCTCTCCAGATTGGCATTTATTTATTCTTCAGTAACACTCTGAACATCTAAAATGTTATTACAGAATAGACTTTGGGTTTGAAATATCTTTCTTTCACAGGTTCCTGTAGTGCAGAGACAAACGATACAGAAGTGTGTGGTGGAGGTACGAGGCGACACTTTTTACTCAATACAAATCATGAAAGTCATGATCAAAGTCTATCAACCAATGACATTCGTCCAAACAGACAAACCGCTCTACCTCCCTGGACAAACAGGTAACAGTCAGAAATGTTTCTGATAAAGAGTTGCCCCAAAGTTGATAGAATGTAGGACAACGATGAACACAGAGTAAATGAGTCCATACATAACTTGTCTGTCCCCTTGAGTTTCAGACCCATGATTTACTTTTATTTGGAATCAAGTATGTAATTTCAATAGTGAAACAAGACTTAAAGGAATAGTTAAAATCTTTTGAAGTGGGGTTGTATGGGATTCTTATCCATGGACAGTCTATTGCATAAAGTAAATGTAGTCCACACGCCCCCAGTTTGGAGAAGCAGGATGGCGTCTGACGTGGAAGCTAAGTAATCTGCTGTGACGGGATTATTGACAAAACATATTTAAGCCCCCTAAAATTGTCCCTGCTAAAAATAACTATCAATTTAAGTTCACGCTATATTGAGAGTTTTTTCACCGCTGTACCTTGCTTTGATTTCCAACGAGAAAATTAAGCTGTTATTTTGCTGTCTTCAAAGCCAGACTCTATTCAGAAAAACAGTGATTTAACGCTGCTGAACACAAGAGCTGTTGGTCTACCACTTTTTTTGTGTTATTGTGCGACTTTGGTGTGTACACTTCATTTAAATTTAGGTATGTGTATGGAGACGAGTCAGCCGGAAGTCCATTTATTCCTATGGCAATCCTCTTGATATCTGATGGCTGTGAAACTCCTCACTGAGAGTCTGTATGACAGTGTGCTAGCTTAGCTAACAGGCTTTTTCCTTCAATTCAGTTGCCTGTGTTGATTGTCATGTAAGTTTGTCTGATTAAAAACAACTTGTTTATCTCATTTTAACAAATCTGAGTAATGTTATTCTGCTAAAATATGGTTATTCATTATATACAGTCAGACTGTTATTGTGACTCGTTCCGTCGTTCATATGTCTTTAAATATTAAATATTACATTTTTCATAAAACATGCTACGTACCTGTCAGACCAACATCTTTACTTATTTGTTGCCATGCATCTCCCCCATGGCTACAGGTAACCTATAAGGTTTCTATCCATCTGTAAGGAAATGCACTTCCTTGCATTGGACACTGGAGGCATCATCCATGTATTTACAGATTTGGGGACACCAGCCACATAAGTGGAAACAAGGTGTTTAGGGTTAGTTCAGATTCACCTAAGTCACACAGTATACATTCCCATTTCCCATGGGAATATAGGTTGAAAAATAAGGGTTTTAAGGGTTATTTAACATGCAGAGAGCCACACAGCAACACTTTGCTTCAATGGTGATGAATGCTTTGTTTGTTGTCCCCCGTGGCATAAAAGGCTGTGACGTTTTATTTATTGGTCTGACTCAGTTGCGAGCACTCCAACTGACACATTATTATGACGTCACATCACCAAATTTATATATGAACACTGAATTTACAACAGCATGGTAAGACCTACCTAAAATGACAGAAACCATCTTTAGGCTCACCTGCTAACATGGAGGGGGCGGGCCACCAGGGGGCGACTATCTTTATATACAATTTATGGTTTCACTTAACTGTTGGCATGTTAAATGAGAAATCTTCATGTAATCTTTCTGCATTTCTTTTAGTGCATTTCAGAGTCGTTACACTCGACACTAAGTTGAGACCTGTTAATCAGCTGGTGAGTATTTGACCCTCCATTTACTTTAAGACCTCATAAAAAACAAACTGTTAGTGACACAGTCAGTCACAATGTACACACTAGCTGGGGGAGTGGAATTGAACAGAAGTTACATAATAAAGTGAAATCAAGGTGGTTTTGCTCTTTACCCTGGGCTATGTGTTTAATCAGTCTTTATAAATAACTGTGCTAGAGCTCCTGTTGAGGCTTTAAGGTCAATAGTACAACCCTTCCCTTTAGGTAAACTTGCCTGTGCCGAGTTGAAGGACGTCAAATATTTTTGTAGATCCAGCGCTTTCCTGTTGAATTATTTCTGTTGCTGACCCTGCCTGCCTCTGACCTGCCTGCTTTGTTTGAATTCCTGGTCAATGCACCATCCCTCTGTCCCCTAAAGATTAAATTTAAATGTAACTTAATTTCCTGCATGCTTAAATCATTACCTATGATGTAGAGATGTACCGATACCATTTTTTCCTTCCCGACACCGATTCTGATCCCTGAACCTTAGGTATCTGCCGATAACGAGTACCAATCCGATACCAGCTCGTAAAATAAAAATGGATGGGATATGAATTGTTGTATGTCTCAACTCCTAAAACTCTATGTAAAGTATTAACAAATAAATACATAATAGTAGAATAATGCCATAAAACTTAATTATTATTATTATTATTATTATTATCCAGTGTTGACACAGATCAAGACACAGGTTAAAGTACAGCCACACAATTTGGTAAAAAAGACATTTTAAAGGCTTCAGTAGAGCGTAGGGCTGCACAATATTGGAAAAAACTGACATTGCAATTTTTCTTTTTTCAGTATATATTCAAAAATACAAGAATTTTAACCAGATGACTTTAAGTAAATAAAAATTTAAAAATAGTAGCAGGGCTTTTACTCACCACAACTGCAGAGGCTACCAGCTTCATTTGAAACAGACTACTTTATAAACAGGCCGTTATTTATCATTCCCTCTGTATCTTTATATTTTTACTTTTAATCCGCTCCCGTTGCCTTGATAAAGTTAATGCATGGCGCCGTCATTTCAAACTCAACACTTCCTGATGTACGGTACTTCAACACTTAATTACGTACGGTACTTCAAATGTAGCTCCTGCCATCTGCTGACACTTTTTAGGTGACTACAACAACATTTCGGCTGGCACATGAACAGACACAGTGACTCAACTAATAATAAAAGTAATAAAAATAGGACATAGGACAAGAATAACCCAATGACAGAGAGAGAAAAGCGAGCGGAGCGGAGCAACGAGCAATGGCGATGTTCAAATGATAGCGCGCGTATGTGTGAAGACTTGAGGCATTATGTGGTATTGGATTGGTCATAGGCTGTATTCGCCGATGCCCGATGGCGCATTTTAGGCAGTATCGGAGGCATTTCCGATACTGGTATCGGTATTGGTACAACTCTGCTATGATGCTTACATTTTGTCTGGTGATTGGGTTGGTGAAATTCTCTGAAATTCTCTCTCTCCACAAGAAGCCATGTGTTTTACCCTGTGTTTTTAGTGATAAATATCAGCAGTGTTTTTAGTCAGCAGTGCATTGAATGGCCTCCAGTCTGATGAGCCTGTGCCTGTTAAAAGGAGGTATGACTGCTAAAAGTGTAAAATCAGGAACACAGCAGTCTTGAGGTCACCATGTAACTAGACTGTACTACTGCAACACACTGGATTGTTAGTCAAAAGAGAGTTTGCAACTTTTTATTGAGTGTATTGTGAGTGAAATGCTGTAATAACACATCAGTGTTATTCTGTGACACTGTGAGGAACTATTAGCACTGATGAGTGGAAAACAACACAACTCACTTATTAACAAATCTCATTTGTTTTCCTCTTTCAGTATAACATCATTGAAGTTGAGGTAAGACTCACACCCTCACTTGCACTCAAATGAAAGGTCAGATCAACTATTTTCAAAACAAAACAAAACAATAAACATATCAACAGTGAAACAGTTATTTCTTCCTGCAATCATTCCTCCTGTTTGTACCATACTTTCAGAGTAAGTGATGGGGACAAGAGTTTGTGCAAAAATGTATTCAGGAGTTTATCTGAAGCTTAAATGAGGCTTCAACAGTCTGAGTTAGTCTTAATCTTCCAAAGTTACTGTGTTTTTTGTGTAAAATTCCCTCTTTGTTTCCCTGTTGAGCAGAATTAATAAAAGAGAGGGGTAGTAATAAAATGAGGATTCTGTGAAGGGTGAACAGGAGGAATATTAAGACTAGTGGTTCCCAGCTGGTCCAGCCATGGGGTCCAGATTTATCTTCAGTCATTAGTTCAGGGTCCACATAGTCCTTTTACACCTGCCCTGTTTGGTTCAGTTCAGTCAAACTCCAGTTTGCTTACTCCCTAAGTGCGGTTCGTTTGGGCAGGTGTGAACACAGCAGTCACACCAAAACAACCGGACCGAGATCTTCTTGAAGAGATGGTCTTACTCCGGTTACAAACAAACTCTGGTGCGGTTGGTTTGTGGTGAGAAGGTGTTCCGACCTGGATGTGAAGCAACTGCAGTCACATGACACATTGTTTGGGTTAAACATGAGCATGTTACAGTCCTGGAGGATTATTAATGTGCACCTCCTCCTGTACTGCCTTAATATGCACATTCAGCACATCCAATGCATCAAAACATTGTTTTCTAGTTGGAGCTGCGCCTCGTTTTCAAACTGTATGGTTTGACTAAAATGAACAATGACAGCAATATAGTCCACGATGAGCAGCGCTAAAATCAACCTGCGTAGTTGTCCCTCCATTGTGACATTAGAAAGTGTCACATTTATCTTGCAAGTGTACTCTTCTTCAACGTTTTACATTCAGCGTCATACTTGTCTTTGGCCATGTTGTCGCTAGTTTGGTGTGTCTGTCAAGTAGCTGTCCTTTAGTCTCTAACTCTACAGCAGAAAACTGCACTTCAAGATTAAAGTTCTATGCCAGAAATTCACTATACTTTAAAAAAAAGTGTTTTTCTTACAAATGTGTTTGTGAGTCACTTGTAATCCATTCAGAATGGACCCACGACCCATTTTTGGAAGGCAATCCACCAGTAGGGAGCCATTGGGTTAGAGAAGTTGTTGTTACTGGCACCAAATGTGAACCGATCTTTTAAGAGATGTTCCAAGATTTTTAAAATAAACTTTTTGGCCTCTAGTTTCGCAGACCAGGTGAGGCGGAGGCGCAACGCACCTGCACTTCGCCAACTGGGTGTGGCCAGGCGGATTTTGCAAGTTTGGCACACCGTGCGCGCTGGCACAGCTACTCCTCTTTCCCACCTCTGTCTCTCCTACCTGCACAAGTCGGAAAGAGGGAGGAGAGAAGGCGTGGAGTGGGTTTTACACACATCACACCAGAGAGAGCAGCAGCGTCAGACGGACAAACTTCTCCCAGGAGGAAACTGATGTTTTGGTCCGGGAGGTCCAAGCTCGCAGTGTCCGAATATACGGAACTGCGAGCAGACCTCCACGGGCTGATGATGCAAAGGTAGCCTGGGAGGAGGTCACCACAATTGTAAATCAATGTTGCGTTTCCCTCGTGCGTGCGCACTCTCTCTTTCTCTCTCGCAGACAGATGCTGAATATATACTCCCTATCTGATGCTGTGGCTGTTTGTGGTTGGCTGAGAGGGATGTGAACTCATTAGTTTGCAGCTGTGTTAATCAAATCAGGTTGGGTTTCCATTACGCGTGCCAAACGTGCCAAACGGTGCCAATCCCCTTTGATCTGACATCAGATGT